GCGCCGCCCGGCCGCCTCCCTGCCCCTCGCCTCCCTGCCCACCCGGTAACATCCCCTTCTCCCTCCCCCCCACAAGCATTTCTGCCTTTTTCTCTCTCTTTTTCTGTCTCTCTCAGCTGGGCTGTTCAGGTCAGCCCTACTCTTCCAAAAGCCCAGACCAGGACCTGGGGTAATGTAGTTGTCAAGCTGCCTACAAAAGCGATTAGCCTACCTTTCCCCCGCCCTTTCTTTCTTAAAATAACAGCCGGTAGGGAGCAGAAAAGCTGATTTGTGCCCTCTCTGACCGCGCTCTTCGGTCAAGTCAGCAGGGCAGCTTCAAGGCGATTACGCGGTGGCAGTCTTGATGCTGTCCGTTTGTATCATGATTGACTTTCCATTAAAAAAAAAAAAAGCTTTCTTATGGAAGACCTATGCCAGAGTCTCTTTTTCTTGATTCTCTTTTGAGAGGGGAAAGTATCATTTCTGGGACTTTGAAAACTTCTATTACTCTTTAGTGCTTGTCACAGAAGGGTTGTCAAAGTTTTTTAAAAAAAGATCTCTTTTGTTTTCTCCTCATTTCTCCTGTGTTTATCACAGCTAGCCTAAGAATTCATCACAAAAAATTCCTTAATTTTGTTAAGTATATAATTTTGGATATTTTGGGTTTCTGGTTAGTGTTTTTGCAGTTCATGCTACAGCAATGAGAAGCAAAGAGGGGGAAATATAGTAAATGTTGTTAATGTCAATGACAGTTGTATAAACTCATCTGTCAGTTGCAGGTTTCAACAACAGTTTGTTTCCTTTTCAGTGAAGAAGAATGTCTCTGTTTAAAGCGCGAGACTGGTGGTCCACCGTACTTGGAGAAAAGGAAGAATTTGATCAAGGCTGTCTTTGTGTCGCCGATGTTGATAACAGCGGGCAAGGTAAATTCAGAATTAGATGGCTGCTAAGCTACACAGCTACTTAAGCTACACAGCTGCAAGTTTGCTTTAACAAAACTAGTGCATGCTGAAAGCTTGTTAGCCAGGCTAGTTGGGTACTTAGTTTACGCTCTGTCTTTAGTGTGTCCTTAATAAAACAAGATGATTGCTCATATTTTTGTCTACCATTCGTCTTTGTATATTTCTAGGTCTAGAAACACTTTAATCCTTGTTGATGTTCAGCAGCAGCAGTTTTGCTCATGTTTTTTTTTCCTGGTAGTAGTGTTATTTAAAACAAAGACTTTAAACTAGTCATGGAAGCAAACACATATATCATAAGTCATTGAACTTATGAAAAAAATAAAAAAGGAGTATGAGGGCTAATAAGGACTTCTTTTTTAATAAAAATATTTAGCTTTTGTGCTGCAAAAATAAGGGCCCATTGAACTCAAGTTGCACCTCACTTGAGGAAACCTTGCTTTTCTTTGTAGTCATTAGTGAGATTAAAATAAAGCGTGGAACTGAAGTGATGCTTCTCTGACCATATATTTGCAACAGTTCGTGATCTTTGCTCTCGAGGAAAATTCCCACGTTGTGTGTGTATGTGTTGTTCCCCCCACTAATAAATACTTAAGACCTACTAATAAATACTTAAGACCTTTCTTTAAAGAGACTCTCTTCCAACATCAAGCAAAATATTAAGCCTTTTTTTTTTTTTTATTTTTGGCTCATCAGACTTCCTTGAGTTTGATTTAATTTTTGTCATTTTTAACCTATGCTCTTTCAGATGGATTTGAACAAAGTCAAACTATGCTACCGCTCTGGTGAGCTTCCTGAATAGGAGTTAACTGAGGGAATTATGGGTAGAATCTATTCCTAATAAGAAAATAAGCCCCTCTTTTGTGAGAGTGTAGTAGTAGTCTGCTATCTTAGTTACTTTCTTAATACTGTATGTTCTCTTTGTTTTTAGACTAGGCTGCTTTTCTTGCAGAGTTCAGGACCAAAAGTAAATGCAGCCATAAGGCAAAAGGTTGTCTTCTAGATAAGTTTATTAAGTATTTTTAAGGAATGCGCAACTAAACTGTATTTAAAGATACAGGTTATACAATGTTAATTTGCTGCTGGTGGACTACTTGTTACAGAACAGAATTGAGGCAAAGAGTAGCGTGCAGAATGCAGTCTCTGAACCAGGCACCCGTGGGTGGAAGTTACTGCTGGAGAAGAGGGGAAGCAGGCAGGTGATCTGAACTTTTGACTTGGAGTCCTGTGAAACTGTTCCAGACCTTTAGAGGCTGGTAAACTGGTTTACGAGTGCACTATGAGTATGTCATCCTGACTTTTGATTTGAGGATTTGATTTGAGGATTTGATTTTGATCTGCATTGATAATGATGGCTTGTGTCCAGAAGAAACATACAATAATGACTACCTTGGAAGGTTAGTTGTATAATGGGAGGGAAGGTAGCTATATAATGGGAGGCAACTCTTTGAGGTTTTTCGTTGGATAACTCTTTTTGTTGTTAACAATGTGATCCCAAAATAACCCTGGAGTAGTTTACCACAGTCCTCTTGGAAATAATGACTCTATCCCAAGATCTTGATATCTTAAGGATGAGCTTTATTCTTTGTTTTGAAGTGTTGACCTTATATAGTAATTATGTGGGTTTAGTTTGCATTTGGATAAATGTCATGGGTCCCAAATTTAAAATTTAACGCTTCTGCTGGTTTGATATGTGTTTGCATAGATCCGAGATGTAGAAGCTGGAAGTTTGAAGTACTCCAGAAAAACAGAATGTGACTTTTAAAGTGTGATTATCAAACTAAAGTGATAGAATAGTAGCAATGGCCGGTGCCATCACCATGATAATTACCCTGTGAGACACTTTGCTGACAGGTTTTTGTTGCTGGAAAAAAAGTTAATTGCTAACATTAATCTAGAAGACAGACTATCAATATAATCCTGTGTGAATATTTTATTTTGTAGGGTATTTTTCGAAACACTTCTGCAGCAAATCTGATTCTACAGGTGCTTATTGTGTTTTTTAATCTTTTTTGCTTTGTTTTTCTATAGATAAAATTATTGTGGGCAGTTACATGGGGTATCTCCGCATCTTTAATCCACATCCTGTGAAACCTGGGGATGGAGTCCAAGCTGAAGACTTGCTCTTGGAAGTGCAGTTACGAGATCCGATACTGCAGGTGGAAGTGGGAAAATTTGTTTCGTAAGTCAGCCAGCTTTATCAGCCACACAGCATGCTAATTAGTGCGGTATTTGGACTAGCTTGCACTAAAAGTTAACTCCTCTCCTTAAGGATGATCTGCAACAGTTCTGTAAAGTATTTAGGGCAAATATTTACAGCTTAGATGTGTATTTCTTTTTTTCTTTTTAGGAATTTCAGTTTCCAGACTGACAACCTGTTAAAAATATGCATACTGTAGTATGCATTTGATCTACTTACTCAATCATATCGATATGAGAGGGTTTTTTTGCTTAATGTATAGATGGAAGAGAGTGTTCCAGATATTTTTTACTTTTCTTTTTCTTATTTTTAAGAAACGTAGAACAGGAAACAAGTTTTCTCCACAGCTAGAAACTTTGAGAGTAAACCTCTTACGATCTGTCAAGGATGTAACGTTCACCAGTTGTGTTGGATCTGATAGAGGATTCAAGACTTTTAAATTCAAGGAATTTCATGCAAATAAGTGGCTTGGTAGAGGAGGCGCTCAAGGAAAAGGCTTTATACTTAACTGGATGTAGGACAATCTAGTACACTTCTTAAATTATTATTATTATTATAGATCCTGCCTGTGTTAATCATGGGAAGGACTTCTCTGCATCTTGTGCTCTGACACCAAAGTCCATCAACCGAAGGGAAGTCTCTTCTGTAGGAAATCATTCTTTTATTCTAGTACTTATGGAGTGACCCTCTCTAGAAATACGAGAGTCTTACCTGATGGAATGATCTAAAACTTCCTTCAGGAATTATAACATGAAAACTCTTTCTCTACAGGAAATACAGCTTAAATTTGTTGGAATCCCATATTGACCTTCCTCCTCCAAGTACTGTGACTTTTCCATAACAGTTTCTGGTTGTGTGGGGGTGGTGTGGGTGGTTGTGTGTGTTTTGAGTAAAGGTCCTCATATCCATTTATCTTTGGAGGAATTAGCAGTACCTTGTTTGCAGTGAATTTCAGGCTAAGCTGGGAAAATAATTGGCTGGCTCTTGGTACTTACCTCCGAAAAATTGTTCTTTAAGGATTCACTTTAATTTTGAATTGAACATCAGATACAGCAACGTGAATTTAGGAAGATAATTAAGTATGCTGGGATTTAACATCCTCAAATCTTAGGATGTGGCCCACACTTGACAAGAAATTATTGGGAGTCTTTACAGTACCTTCAGTGTATCACTTGAATTTTATTCTATGTACTGTATTTTACTAGAAATTAAACTGAAACAACTTTTCTTTTTTCCTTCTTCACAGTGGTACTGAAGTACTTCATCTGGCTGTGTTGCACTGCAGAAAACTCTGCGTATATGCTGTTTCAGGTGAGTTTAAAGATGCAAACCTTTAGCTATTTTAAGAGTATTCTGGAGTTAGTTTAGGTTAAATAATAAACTCAATAGTTAGAGGGTTTGTTGGCCATTCCTGAATAGCTTTAGTGGTGTTTTCGCTCAAGCTTGTATTTGAAGAGGAAACATTAGTAATTAGGTCCAAATATTTCCTAATGATTAAAGGAGATCTGTTGATCTGTTCTGTGCTTGAAGCACTGTGACTTATGATATGCAGGTGGCAGTACTTGAGTCTTGTTCTGCTCTTTGCAATGCTCTAGATTACTGTTAGAGAAAGATGGTGTTGATCTCGCTTATGGAGGTGATGGCTCTGCAGCTGAACTGCTCAAAGATTGGTTACTGACTAGTCTTACCGTGTGTAGTGTCAACACATGAAAGATACAAGTTCTAATTCGTCATTGTTGAGTGTACGTACCCAGATGTTCGAGTACAAAAGTACTAGTAAATAATAGGTTCTTATTACAATTCTAGAACCAAGTGTTCAGCTTGCTAATCAACACATGGTTGTTAAGGACAGCCTTAAAAATGAAGCAGTTCTTATAATTACTTCTGAGATCAAAAGTCCAGATAATTTCTTTGAAAGTCGGAAGATTAGAAATATATCCCAAGAGACGATAGGAGGGTTAATACTGGTAAGAAGGTGAAATTACTACTATGGCTTTTCTTGTTAAATCCTCTTTTAGAATTTCTAAAGACAGAAAGAATAATGGTACACTTGAACTGTATGTGAAGAGGAAGGTCATAAAATACGTGTTATGTGCCTTGAGTTATCTCTAACATATACAGGTTTACAAGGTCTATTGACTGTACCCTCTTTTTCAGAATTCAGTGAACTTAACTGTATAGTTTTCACCTTCTTCATGCACTGACAGGAGTGGATACTTTCACTCCAGGGACATAGTTTTCTTACAGGAGCAGCTTGCTGCTTATTTGAGAGCCTCATAGGTTACAAATGCATGTTTTTTCCCAATTCTAATTGCCTTGTGACTCTCTTACCTGGAGAGGCCTGTATAATTGGTCTTTGAGGGGTGATGCTTATGCTTCTCTAGTGTTGCTTATGTTCTGTTGCCTACCAGTATAATTTTTATTAGAACAGCTTCAATATTTTCATTAACAGCATACAACAAACAAGTCAGTCTAGAATTTGTTCCAGTTTTAACATGCCGTTTGGTCTACATTGTTTAAGCATTTCAGTCATAATGAAAGTAAAGTTTTAGTCTTTTAATTAAAAAATGATACGTAATATATTATAATATTTTGCACATTATTTTAAATCTATAAATTACTTTATTATTATAACTAAGTTGCAAGCGCCCTACTATACTGGTAACCTGTCATTTGAACAGATGCTTTTGAACAAGCTTGTTCCACAATTAAAGATCATTATCTTCTTATGCTTCAAGGGCAAGTCACTTTCTTGTAATGCAGGATTTTACTTGCTTTATACACACTACCATATGTTTGTTATTTAGAGTAAAACAAACTCACTGTGGTGTTTCTCTTCCTGGACAGTTGCGAGCATCTTCCAAGACTGATTAGCGTATAGCCTGGATATTGCATTGTAGGCAATGGGCACAGAATGACTACCTTGTAACCTGTTTTTCTTCTGGTGTTGCTACTTTGGCTATTTAACTGCCGGAGTTTTTTTCTCCATGTTAATTCTAATCAGGCTTGCTTCAATGGCAATATCTGAAAATCTGTATTGAGTTTTAGTTGGAGCAATTGCCCAAAAAGGTTAGTCTAGGCTACAAATCTGTCTTGGCACCTGAAGATTGGTGTTGAAATAGTCTTTGTATACTCAGGAGTGGTGAGGGGATTTAGCATAGAACTAACTCACTCAAGCAGTTGATGGCTTTTCCTTTTAAGGTGACTGTTTTTAAACTTTTTGTGCTAGCCAATATGACTTCTAGAATGTAGTTCTACAAGATGAAGAACTTTGAGTACTCTTCATGGGGGGAGATGACGAAAGACTTCTGATTATCAAAAGATGATCCTTAACTTCAATCTCTTTCAAAAGGCTCTTTGAATTTCTCTTAGTTCCCTAAAGGGAACAGGAATTCAAAGTTCTGGCAGGTGATTTTGAGATAATATGACATTTCAGAATAAATTATTTCTGTTACTGTGTATATGTCTCTTATCTTGCATTCTTAATCACTGCATTGAATTTCGGAATGAACAAGTGATAAATGCCTCATAAAAATAGCTTTTCAAAATATAACTTGGGACTGGCTACAGCTTGATTTGAGACACAGATCACTACAGCTTAAGCTGGATGTAGTACATCCACTGAACAACTGGAGAATCATAAAAATTCCCTTTCTCATGAGTAGGCTTTTTTGATCTGAGGTTTTTTGAGTTTTAATGAGGTGTGCTTGACCTGAGGAAAACTATATTTAAGTAATAAAATTTCTGCCTCTTGCTAAGTCATTATGCAACATTTAGTGTAGTGGGACCTTATTTCTGGTTCTGGCCTTCAGGTGCTGTTGTAACTGAGTGCTTCTTTAGGAAAGCAGCAGCATCAACCATCCTATCTCAAAGTCCATAGGAGTAAGCTGTCGCTTTCAAGGTCACTCTGTAAATTGATAGCCGTTTACTTTTTTGTATTGCATGAGCTGTAGGGGTGTGTGTATACACATATGTATACACACACGTGTTCACTTGCGCACACATACATCTCTTACCTTTTTTGGTAGGAACTCTGGGAAATGTGGAACACGGGAACCAGTATCAGATTAAGCTGATGTATGAGCACAATCTTCAGCGAACTGCTTGTAATATGACTTATGGCCCATTTGGTGGTGTAAAAGGTAAGCTCCTTTCTGTGTAGTCCTTGTTATCAGTTTTTTAACTGAAAAGTTGAGTGTTCTTTTCAAAACTGAAGAGCTGTGTGTGCTGTTTGCTAGAGGAGACCATCTTTCTAAACAATGGTCTTCATCTTCTGCATATTAAAAAAAAAAAAATCACTGACGTTAAAATGAGACAATATTAAATGCAGAATAGTTCTTTTCCTCACAGCTGTATCTTTTGAGAACAGGATATGGGTTTACAAGGATATATCATTGAGAAGGAAAAAACTTATGAAAACCCTTGATCTCTCCTTGTAAAATATTTTAATATCCAAATGATTGTGTTCTTTTGTGCTTTATTTGGTTTTGCTTTTCTGCAACATGCTTATTCTGGACAAAGAAAAGGGAACATCTACGTTCCCTGAACCTGAAATATTGAGTGTCCTTAAAAATACACAATGCAGGCTTATTTAAAAAAAAAGTTTTTCTTAAGCTTGAAAACATAACAATGGAAAGTAATATTTATAGTGTGTTTGTAATTTTAAATAAGCTTCATAGATTTCAGTCTCTGAACTTCTGTGACACGACTGTGGGTGCTTTCTTTGTGTTCCAATCTGGAAGCGTTTAGGTTTGCTCTACATGACAGCACTTTCTCTTCAGAAGTCAAGTTTTGCCAGCGATACTGGGGAGGGTAGTCACCTATACAAATGATATCCCTAAGCTGTTGGTGGAGTAATACCACTTTACTGAGGCATCAAAATATTCTGAGTCAATACGGCAAAGGGTGTATGCTGACAGGCTATCGGTTCTGTGACTGTAATAGTCTTTCGGTAATAATCCTACAGTGCCTAACACAAAACTCAGGCTTGTCCCTGGGCTTGAATTCAGCAGACCAAAATTCAGACAGGTTGAAGAGACTTCCACCTACTCACTCTGCACATCTGTCTGGGAAAAATGGTCAACCCAAGTTCCATGAGTGCGAAGGTGAACGGTGCTACCATGAGTATCTTGATGGGTGAGTGTATAAGGTATGGGCACTTTCCTGCTAATAGCAAAAAGAAGATACTGAGTTTCCTAGGAAGTGCACTATTTAGTCCTCTCACTTCTAATATGCTACAGTGGAACTGCAGAAATAAATGTATTGAGGGATCCTGAGCTAAGAGTAATTAGTCCATCTGGAATGGAAAAGCAAGGGATCTTTACATATGTACCACCATGCAGTTCTGTACCACCATGCAGTTCTGTGGAATAAACTGTCTGGATCTTCCTGTGTGAAGTTCTGTTACCATGGAGATCCTGGGCAGTGGTCTAACCACCAGCTTGGTATTGATGCCAGGCCTCTCTATGCCTGTGAGAAGCTATGGAGGAAGCTGCTAAGTCTCATAATGAAGAAAATGTCTTTCCAAGTTAGGAAGATGGAGGGTGACGTTTATTTCAAAACCTGCTCGGTCAGCCAAACGCTCTTTCAACGCCTTGGATAGTTAACATGAAGGCTAGTCCTGGCAGACAAAGCAGCAAGGACAGGGAAAGGAACTCTGGTAAGTTCTGCAGATTTTTTCTGGTTTTCTAGTACGTTTTTGTCTCAGTATGTCAAACTTCCCTTTTCCTTTCTTCTTTTCAGTGCTCCAGCATAGTTTTCCATGCTGGCTTTGAGTGTTGTTTCGAGTGTTGTTCTTTGATGGAAGAACGTCAGGAAGCAAAGAAGGAGAGATTGGTGTTCTAAATAATTCCTGTTTCTATTGAAAATAAAGTAGTTTTCTGTTTAAAACTTGAATTTGAGAGAAAACTACAGTGAAAGTTCTGTATTCAAGTGCCTCCTCATAGGTTACTAAGGCAGACATTGAAGAATGGGAGTAATAGGCAGAGTGCCCATGGGAGAATGGGCTGAATATCCTTTCTGGGGTTTCCTGGATTGTCAGACTAGATTTGCCAAGGCTGTGCTTGTCCTTCTCTTGTAGTGGATCTGGTCTGATCTCTGTAGTACCATCGCTAGAAACTTGCTTGTTCACTCCTTGAGACTTATGAACCACAGTTTTCTTCTTTGCATCTTGGAAGAATAGCCACAAAGTGGAGCAGAATAATGTTCTACCGAGTGCTCTTAACTCTAGTAAATAGATGCCCGTCCTGGTCTGGTCTCCTGCACTATCTGTGTCTGTGTCTTTGGCAGATGTTCTGGGCTGTGGTTGAGAGCCAGCAACAGGCTGTAGCTAAATGTATATATATATATTTTTGCCTGACTGCCACTGACCTTTCTGGAATTCTTGCCAGGCATCTGCTAACAGTCTCCCTCACCTCCAGTAGGGGTTAATTCATGATAGTGGCAGTGCTAGGAGTGTGCAGCAGCAAGCTTGCTTTGCCAGCACTCTGACCTATACCATTCTACACTGTCTGGAAAATGTAGACTAACAAAAAAAAAAGGCTTTTTAATGTTTATTTCCTTCTGGTTTTGTATGACTAACGTGTCCTCCTTATTGCTGTACTCAAGCATCCTTGGGGGGGAAAAAAAGAAGGTGAAAAAGGCACTTCAGAGGTCATGTTTGCAGAGCTACTGAAGCAGACGCAGGAGAGTGGCAGTTGAACAGGAGTATAAGGAAAACATGCTGTGGAAGTGTCAGGAGAAAGGGGGCAAATGTAAATCCCCCAGGAACATAATCTTTCGTCTGAGGAAGCAAAGAAGAATGCTGCAGGAGCTGACAAACCACCTGATCCATGAAATTGCTCTGTCTTGGTCGGATTTCTCTTGCTGAAGATGAAGCTCCCCTCCCCCTGCCCTTTGTTGTAAAAAGCCTTGTAACCCTATACCTCCAATAGTAGTGAAGCTCATCCTACCCAGCCATACAGTTTGAACCTGCTAAAAGGGGGGGGGGAGGGGGGAAGAATTGAATTCATGTGCACTAGTTTGTACTTGTCTCCTGTGACATGCTTTGAGGTTTTTTGACCTTTTTTTGGGACTAGCAGTTATATGGATTCTTGTTAATGCTTCCCCACCCCGCCGTGTTGTCTACTGCTTCCGTACAGTTGGCTGTCAATTTCATGGAAACTGAAGAAAATAATCAATTTGCTACTGTTTGTTCTCACCTCAAATAAAATATTCTTCTTTTGGCACTGATTCCTATTGTGATCACTTAAAATTTGATATGTACCCACGTACAGATGCAGTTTGTGCTGTCTAGTGGGCCACTACTGTTGTGGTCTTAACTGGAAGTCAATGTGGTCTGTTAGTCTCCCGATGCTGTAAGGATGCATGGTGAGTTTTGAAAAATCTTATGAAGCCAGTGCGTAATTTACATCTGCCATCCTAGAGGTAGCAAATCTCTTCTGGCCTCTGTGGTGGGTGGCTATGTTTTTCAGCTGCTTATTCCTTTGGCAAAGTTTCTTTCTTCCTTTGAATAAGTATGGCTGAACAGCAGAGAAGACAGCTGAGGCTTGTAGCTTCTTGGCAGCTACCCCCTGTTATAGAGTGTGCTCTGGGGGAAAAAGTTGGAGCGTGCTTGGTAGTCCTCAGTAAGCATCCCCACTACAAGATGTGGCAGGTAGGACTGCGTGAGAGGTATATAAAGCAACTAGCTAAAAGAAGTCTGAGGCTGGGTGACTGCTGTGGAAATTGTGGAACAGTCCCATGACCAGGCATGAAGGTATGGAAAGGAATTTAGTTTCATTCCAGCAACTATGAATTCCTGGAAATCCTGCAGTCCCCTTTAGGCCTTTATAAAGGCTGAAGAGGCAGAGAAATTTGTGCAGACTGTGGTTTTAGTTATTAATACTTCTAAATGCTTCTTAAACTTCTTTAAAAGTTTAGATTGTATTGGAATGGAATTTGCCTCTCCAATTTACAAAGCATTTTAGTGTCTTTAGGAGGCATACCTTTAAGGAGAAACTGCTAGAAATTCTTCCTTTAAATGTTGGTTGACATACAGTCCTGTCAGAGCTTTTCAGAAGTTAAGTGGCATAACTATTAAATGCTCTGCTACTGCTTTTATGGTTCAGGTTGGTTATGAAATCTTGGTGGGATCTCCTTCAGCTATTTATAGTTAAAAGTGTGTTTACATAAAACCTCTCCCCATGCCTGCGGTCCCCATTCTTCATGTGCTGCTTGATTAGGTAAGAGTATTTCTCATAGCTTCTTTTGATGTTCTAGCTGTGGAAGAATGTCCTTGCAGTTATTTGAAATGTGCAAACGTTCAGAATGCAAACATTAGGAGCATCTCATGTTGTACTGGTATTTTTTTGCATCCCTTTCAGTGTTCTAATTCAGGGAGGAGATGCAGAGGCAGATAAGTCCTGGAGCTTCACCGTAGTTAAACTCCTGCAACTCACTACTTACTTGTACCCACTGGTGAACAGGACATCTGCAGGATCCAGTAAGAGGTCTTTCCTAATGCACCCTGAGTTATGCTCATTTCACTGTTTCTTGGGTTAGCTGTAAAAACAGGATGCATCCTTGTTGTAATATGCTTGTGTGTTTCTTATGAAGCAGCAGAACTATTATAGTCTTGTATCTTCTATATAATTTTAGCTATTGGCTCAATTTGACTGCTCTGGGTAGTCCTGCACTGCACAAACAGTATGTATATACATAGTTTTCGAGGACTTGGGTCATAAATCTGTCAGTATTTGCATAGATAATCTCCCTGAAGTCAAGCCATTCATGAAGTGCTATTCTTTGTGAGTTGTGGTACTGGAATATTATAAATATTCATGTCTAGGCCATAGTGCGTCCTGTATTATTTCTTTAATAAGATGACTTAAGTCCTGTAATTCACCATCTGCTTACACATTTCAATTAAATTATGCCTTATAACTTAAGACATTCATAATGTTCCTCTAGTAACTTAGTCATCTAGTCCATAATTTTAAAAATATGTAACAGATATAAGTATCTTGCTTTGGCGGGTGTGAACTGAAATAAATCCCTTTCAGTAGTACCAGACTTCTCTCTTTCTCTCTCTTTTTCCCCCTCTCCCAATAAGATCTTTCCCCTTCCTCTTTCTGTTTTGTGACTACCCCCCACCCCAACCCCA